CGATCAGCTCGCTGCTGCAGTTTAAGTGACGAATGAAGTGTGTGACGTGAGGGTCGACGAGAAGTCCTGTGAAAACTTTCTATATCACGCAATCAGCGACGTTGCATTTTCATATCGAATCTTTTCAGCGCAGCTCCTTTCGACGATATTTTGCTATCAATGATCCAGCAGATATTATTGTGTCTTCTATAGACCACTTCTATAACTCCTCAGCAATAGTGTCACTAGGGTTATCGTTGTACAGCTTTTCTGTCATACTAGATTTGCGCAAATACGACATAATAGGGTAATACGCAGATAATAGATTAGTTGTATAACTCTGACTGAAGATTTTTTTTTTAATTGAGATTATTGAAAAAAATGTGCTTCGGGCACAAACAGCCATGCATGTGTGTGTACCATATTTATGTATCTCTTATGAAATTTGATGTAGGAATAGTAATAAAAACAAGTTTTAGTTTTTAAGGTAATATATTTAATTGGGGAATTTATATTTAGACCTAATTTATGCAAATATCATTCTCCTCAATTTCGATACACATATCATTCGCCCAACTTTTACATGCACTACTTTGGATCATCCTTCTTTTGACTAAGATTATGATAATCTTTTTGTGCAGTAAATGCAGTGAAGTTGCTTATTGACGTGTTCAAATGCGGCGCTATAAGTGCCCTATCTCGATTTTTATATACCAAAGACGATCTTCGGACTTTTGCATACCAATAACACTGTTTGCAATGAAGTGCACATGCACATATTTATTGGGTTGGCAAATAAGTTCGTTCGAACTTTTAATCGGAGTAGGTTTACCCGTTCTGCTATCTCTTTTCCACAGCGCTATCGCACAACGCGCTTACGCAGCTAAAAAGCGATGTTCCACCTAATTTATAAACATACGCCGGTTAATACCAGAGTATTGTGCGTACTGCACGGTTGCAAATATGGAAGAGGTGGAAAAGAAATTCCATTTTCGCCATATTTTACTTTTTTATTCCAAAAAAGACAAACGAGCTGCGGAAGCTCATAAGAAAATTTGTAATGTGTATGGGGACGATGCTTCAACAGAACGTGTGTGTCAAAAATAGTTTGCCAAATTCCGTTCTGGAGATTTTGATGTTAGTGACGCGTCCCGTTCTGGTCGTCCAGCAGCGATTGATTCAGCTGTAATAAAGAATACCGTCGACAAAAATCCATCGCAAACGAGAGATTGCTACGACACATAATATATCCCACACAAGTGTAGAAAACCATTTGCGTCAGTTGGGATACGTTTCTCGCCTCAATGTTTGGCTGCCGCACGAATTGACCGAGGCCAACTTAACCGCTCGCATTTCTATCTGCGACGCGCCGCTGAAACGCCAGGAAAACGATCCATTTTTGAAGCGGTTGGTTACGGGAGATGAAAAGTGGATCCTCTACGATAATGTAGTATGTAAAAGATCATGGGGAAGCAGCAGTGAACCACCACAAACAACCTCGAAGGCAGGATTGCATCTGAAGAAAATGATGCTCTCAGTGTGGTGGGATTATAAAGGTATCATTTATTATGAGCTCTTACCATTAGGTAGGACGATCGATTCAACTCTATATTGCTCCCAATTAACGAAATTGAATAAAGCAATACGTTCGAAACGTCCAGAATTGGCAAATCGATAAGAAGTCCTCTTCCACCACGACAATGCCAGACCCCATACTTCAATAACTACTCGGAACAAATTGTTAAGGCTTGGCTGGGATGTTTTGCCTCACCCCCCTTATTCACCGGACCTGGCACCCTCTGATTATCATTTGTTCCGGTCGCTGCAAAATTCTCTGAACGGGAAAAACTTTGCGAATAATGAAGCTGTTAAAACGCAACTGCATCAGTTTTTTGCTGGTAAACCTCAGACGTTTTATGAATGTGGGATTATGAAATTGGTAAAAAGATGGCAAGAAGTCATAGAAAAGAGTGGTCAATATATTATTGATTAGTATATATTTTGTATATTAAATAAATTGTAATTTATACCAGTCAAAAAACCGAACGAACTTATTTGCCAACCCAATATATGAAAACATTTTTCCTTCCTACTTCTATTGCCCGTATCAGGGCGTGGTGACCTCTCTCATATGCCTATGGTGCTCACGCTGATTATACACAGGCATATGAGACCTACAATTTAATGCCAGTTCCGAATGGCAAATTTTTAGAGAAATGATAAAATTACGATAGTACAAATATATATATATGCGTGTATATATAATATATATATATATACAGTGCGTATATCTACATGGTCTCCCATTAAAAAGTTTCATTTTAAATTAATAAAAAAACGAAATTGTTTTTGAAAAATCAGTGATATTTTTATTTTAACCGAAAATACAGATTGTGCGATTAAACGTGGAACACCACATCAGCCAAATGACCGTCTCGACTTTTCTCGCAAATGTTCATTCTTTTGAGGAAATTTTCCATCATGTTTTCGCACAATTGAGGTTCAATTCCGCCAAAAACAAGTCGCATATTGCCTTTGAGCCCTTGAATCGTTTGCGGAGCATTTGTGTAAATTTTATCCTTCACAAAATTCTAAAATAAAAAGCCCAGCGGTGTCAAATCGCACGATCTAGGCCAGTTGAAGTCTCCGTTAAGCGAAATGACACGAACTCGAAACTTCTCACGTAATAACGCGATCATTTCACGGCTTATGGTACGTAGCCACATCCTGCTGAAATCTTTCTACATCTTTGTGCAAAATACGGTACAGGCTGGTTTGAAATGCCCAATTGCTGCGAACATCTTGCAATATACACCTGGATTTTCCGCAACACTTTCAGCCATCGCAGCAATGTTTTCAGTTGATCTGGCTAGGTGAGCACGGATTAGGTTCTTCACTATTCTGACCGTGATGTTAAAATTTATCAATTAAATATACAATTACTGTACGAAAATGCGTTTTCCTCTGCGACCGAAACTGGTATGAATTTTGCAAACTATCCCCGCAAAATTTGTATCATGTTTGTAGTAACTTCTATTTTCATACATTGCTCAAGCGAATATCGTTCCATTGTTATTACCCGCATAGTTTTTACTTGACAGGTGACAAATATGGCAGCTCCATTTCTGACAATTAAAAAACGTCGCTAAATTTAAATGAAACTTTTTAATGAAAGATCCTTTATAAAATCCTATAAAATTTAATATTATAGATTAGTTACAAAATTCGATTTCAGGATAATAATGTTATGTCATTATTTGATACGAATTTATAAATGTTATTTTTTAACAAACATCCTTAAAAACAAAATTTTTTTTCTTGTTAAATAACGTTCGCGCTCACGACCCACTGCGATGCAGCGAACGGCGTCAACAATTTCTCAGGCATTATTTAATATATTATTAATATCAGATCGATTATTTCTTACCAATCAGTATTCATATTAGATGACTACACGCGTGTGTTTGGAATGATTTTCATGCGAATCGGACGTGAAGCACGCAGTACAATATCCAATTTCATTGAGACATCTTTCAAATAATCAATGGGCTCTAAGTAGAACTTGTACACCACAGGAGCTATCAGAGCTTTTAACTCCAACAGAGCGAATCGTTGACCTATCCATTGTAATTCCATGAAATATATTTCCGGAAATAGAAACCAATATTTTATAAATTACCAATGCAATTTCGTGGTCCCGCGCTGAATGGTAAATAGGAATAAGGATGACGATTCTTTATATTCTCTGGTAAGAATCTCTCTGGATTAAATACCTCCGGATCCGGCCAAATCTTAGCATCATGATGAAGATCATAGATAAGGAGATGTACCGTTGTGCCTTTTGGCACCAAATATGGATCTGAAAATACCAATGAACATAATAAAATATTTCTTATATACACCAATAAAAAGTTTAACAATAAATATATATGTACATATGCATAATTAATTTATTGTACACATATACAAATTCTCCATACACGTCGAGTAACGAATGAAGTTGAGCGATTTGAAAAGATTTACAACTTTTCAAAATATTATAATTTATTATTATAAATATAAATGAATAATTTAAATATGATTATATAAGTTTTCTTGTTTATTTTATGGGAAGCATTAAAATACACTCTATTGATTTCATATCTATTTGTGTTCCATCGCAGTTCCATGCTTGAACTGTCCGAAGAATAATGTTATATATAGAGATGTCTATTAATTACTCACATAACTTTACATCTTCGGAACATTCACGCGATATAAAAGGGACGCTAGGATACATTCTCATCGACTCTTTCAAACACATCTCCAAGTATGGCATACTCTGTAATGCCTTCATAGTAAGCTTTCCATTATTTTCCTGCATCACGTTAGAAATTTCTTTTCTTACACGATCCTACAAATCAATGGTTCACACATTATACATCGGATATATCAATATTGATTGTTAATTAAATGGGAAATACCAATATTCTTATATTTCTAAGGCAATTTTACTCACCTATGGACAGGAACGCTGTGAAAAATTATCGCCTTAATTTTTTCCAAGCTTACAGTTACCACCGATTATTTGTTAAAATAATTTTTAAAAAATAATTTATTATTTGTTATAAAATTTATTAATTTGCATAATTATATAAAAATAGTTTTACATAATTATGTGATTAATGATTAATTAGTGATTTATCATTGTCTAGCTTCAGCAGAAAAAGAAGCATAATAAATCCGTCGCGCTGTGCTGCTAGCAATTTTGCAACTCTTGTAAAATATTTTACCTAACAATTTCAGTGGCTCATACCTTTGCAGGACGTGTTGCGCACGTGTGCACGCGGAAATTATATCTTTTTACATAGTCATAACATGTTGGTCTTCTTAGTAGAACTTGGAGCAACGTTGATTATTAAGTGTGATTCAGCAGATTTTATAACTAGTGTAATGTAGCGGAAAACTACGAACTTCTTTTTCTGCTGGAGGTAGCTTTAAATACATAACTTTTAAAAGATAGATTGATAGATACATAACAAAAAGGAAAATATTTACCTGGATGTCTTTATGCTCAGCTAACAGTTGTAAAGTGAAACATGATGCTATTGCTACCGTATCATGACCCTGTAATGATTTATTTTATTTAATATAACATCGCACGTGCGAATAGTGAGAAGTATATTCTGTATGAAGCACGCAAATAAGGAAGATTGTGAAAAATATTTTACGCGTATAGTTTGCGATAATCATCGTTTACTGTATAACCGTCCGTATAGTATCATAATTTAGGTTAAAATGATTGCTTATAGAACCAAAGAGAAACGCTGTTATATATTTGAGCAATTTGAAGAACCGCGAACTTTTTTTACCTCGAACACAAAGGTATCGACTTCTTCTCTGATATCTGAATCACTTAGGCCATGGTTGCGAGATTCCGCTATTAAAATATCCAACATGGCCATTCGTTTCTTTTTAACTTAAACAAATAGAAAATTATTTGTATACATTCGTATTATTTTTATAAGACAATTATTCCGAACATACTCCCTATTACTTCCTCGTCATCCATTCCTGTGTCGTTTTCAAAGTGTTTCAAATATCGCCATTCAGTTTGTTCGTGATAAAGCTTTCTTTCTGCGATAATCTAAGCATAAGAAAAAATATGAAACTAGCTGTATGTATAACTATTTCTTAATTGACTCATTAGTATCAACTATTACTTTTTATTGACATAATAGACACTTCTCCTAAAAACGTAAATAACATGCTTGCGGCTACTCACTTTCCTGGTGAATGAGTGCAAGATGTTGAGATATTTATTATGTGTCCTACCCATTGACGTTAAATTGAATAGTGTGTCATTAATAAGCCATGGTCTGAAAAGTCTAAACAAAATTATTCACATTTAAATAAGTTTAAAAATGAAATTTTGTTATTTTTAGATCGCTTAGGAAGATTTGATTCAATCCAGATGTATTTATAACCTAAAGTAAAAATTACCTTTTGATCACAAATTTGCCCATATCATGAACCGTATGACGATATTCTTCATGAGAAGAACGTGCATCTTGCAATGAAATGCCCATGGAAGTTTCTGTAAACATAATTTCTGAAGTCACATAAATTTCTAATAATAATTTCTGGCTATTACATATGTGATATTCACCATATTTTACATAATAACAGTAGAATATAGAATGGTACGAAATACAACAAATTAAACACAAAAATTTCTCACTGAAACATTATGCCTTCAGCCGTTCCTTCGTTTGAACAATATTAAAACGCACTATTGTATGAAATTTGTGAAATATTAATAAAAATTATTACAAATATAATAAATATTTGTAACTGATTCACGGGTTCGTTTATAATAAAAAAAATAAACTTCAATTCTCTTGAAAAAGAAAAATTAAATTAAATCATATATATATACCACATATAGCGTTTAATGTATGATGACTGGTAAAATGTAGCAAGTCGTCGATAACTGATTCCTCTGTATTCTTCAATGATTCAGCCGCACGATTGCCCTCCTCGATCAAGATCTCAACGAATTGTTTTAATATAGAAAAGTGAAATGCGGGCGTTAATATCTTCCGCCTTTTTTGCCATTTCATTCCTGTGGAAGTGATACGATTACATTTTGCCGTTTATATACGTGTATAAATATTATATTATAATATCGAAAGTTAATTGGACTGATATAATACATGTGGAATTAGATTGTATGCTATTTTTAGTTCCATCGAAGTACCTTTGCTAATAAGAAGTCCTTCGCCTAACCAAGATTTCAAAAGTTTGTATTCGTAGCCTTTCACGATATGTTTCGTGCTGTTTAGTATTTTCTAAAACCACGGATGGCACAAAATAAAAATTATGTTGTTATTACCGACATTTGGAGTTAAAAAATGGAATACATTTATGTTACGCTAAGGATTATGTATACTATTTTGAGTAAAAACTGTAGACATTTATCATCGTTAATGAAAATGCTATACGACCATGATGAAATTTTTTTCTACGACAATTTCATTACTTCCATATGATCTGGAGTGCAAATGAAAATGTTGGGTATGCCGAAAATCCAATATTTCAAAAGTGGATATGTGCTCATTAAACTCCGGAAATAATACCACATTTCCTCTGAAATATAAAGAATATTAATATATAATTCTCTAATACTAATGACTATTCTTTTCGGCTAATCAGCTATTTGATCACCATTAATATCTTACATTTCACTAAATGTCTATTATGGAATTTTGTGTGTGATTAGCGGTACGCATTTAATTCTCTGTTATACGTGATGATTAACATATCGGTAAATCATTAAAAATTTACACCAATTTTTTACCTGGCGAGGCGTTCCAAGTTTGTAAATTGCCTAAAATAGGAAGTGCCATTGGTCCTGGTATACGATCAATAAGTCGTTCGTTTCTTCCAAGGTGTATAATGTAATGATATAAGAGCGCAAGAAAGAGACATGTTAGCAGTAAGGCGACAATCATGTTGATTAAAATAATGACTCTTAAAACTTCTTTCGTCCTCCTTATAGCCTTTATGTCCTACGTTACGACATAAAAAATGCAATATTATTTTATGAGAAGCACTCCGCGATGATCTATAATGTCGGAACGTGCATTTTACATATATATATATATATATAATTGCAAATATATACACATATTCTTTTATAAACGAAGCAAAAATAACCGAAATGAAGAAAGTATTGTTTTTTAATATATATGATTTTAGAAAGATTTTTGGATTTTGAGATTATTATCACACATTTGAGAGTAATTATTTCTCCGACATTATTATGGACTGCATTAAAACATGTATCAATTATACCAACGTATTTAGTCGACGATATATGATTTTTAGAATAAATGAAATAGGTCATCACATTTCGAATCAACGCATGTGTGATTTCACACTTGACGAGGTGGTAAGATAAAAAAGCTGGAAGGACAAGCGAGAATTTCGGCACGGATATCTTACTTGAAGACTATGAAGACATCTTGCAACAAACGTCTTTATCTTTCACTTGTCTGATATGCATATCAGTTAGGTCTGCTTTAAAAGTAAACTTGTGCTCTTAGGTAATATTTTATGTATCAGCGTTTCTTATCTAAGTAAATATATTATGTAAGGTGACCTCTCTAAAAAGTCAACAACGTGTTGTCAAAGACATAGTTCTGAGCAATATGCAAAAATGTCGATCTGCCGTTCGTTGTTTATTAAAAAGTTATTATTGAAAGAAAGTTCCATAAACTGGACATACATTTTTGATACTTTAAAGATAGAATATCAGTCGTATGTATTACCTATCATGACGCAATATTGTTCACTTTACCGGAGTTCACACTCAGCCATAGGAAGATTGTATATGTATTATGATAGGAGAGAAATGCTAATATACCACGCTACTGACAAAGATAATTGTTATATTTCAGAATTTTTATTTAAATTAAAGAACTCTATGTTTTTGATATATTAATTGATTTTTTTTAAAACATGAACAAATTTTAAACAATAAAGAATAATTTAATCATTATTAATATTATATTACCAGATTATTGCTTAAATACATTTATATTTATTTTATGTTTATTGTCAGTATATTCTAAACATTATAATGTAAGAAATAAATTTTTCTACTTGTCTCCTTCATAATTTCTTAGTAGATAATAAAACAATAGCTAATATTATTAGCATTCACTTAGGAAGAGCTGCGCTTTTCTTCGCTGATTAACCTAAAATAATCTTACCTTTAATTCCTCTTTATAAGATAACTTGAAAAATGTTAATAACTTACGGGAAATGCATACTATATTCATATATTCTACTAAAAATCTTGAAGTTATTTCACAAAGAACTACAAAAAAGTTCAATATTCAAATTGCATTATAATATCTGTTGTTAGACTGATACCTGTCTATTGTTAAATCATTTGTCATATATTTGTAGATTAGACTATTCTGAACAAAAAAATCTTTTCTGCTGAATTTTATCCGTACTATCTGCATGCAAGCGGTGTTTCGTAAATTATTAACAATCTGTAGATTGTTATATAATTTGCTTTGCATATGCAATTAGTGTTTTATATATTTAATTGGACATTGTATTTATGCGTAGCATACTTTATGTCAAGGAAATCCAGTTATGAACAAGAAAATCCAGTTTTTTCATTCGTTTCTCACTTAACCTGCTAGACTTGTTAGTCTCTTATCCGCTAGCGTTTCACTACTCTTCGTACATGATTATTCGTCTGTGTTTATTTTTCTTCTAATGATTGATATGATTGCTCACAACACTTTACGCAACTTTTATCTCACTTACTTAAATTACTGATATGCGACGCATGAAACATTGTGCGACAGATACTTTATATAATATTAGGTTGGTTCAAATGGAATGGCCGTTTATAAATATAAAGTTGAAACTTGTATTTTTCAAATATAA